TGAAGTCAGAGGTAATGTGATTTCTCCAGTTTTGTTCTTTATGCTCAAGATAGCTTTGGCTATTCTAGGTCTTTCCTGGTTCCATTTAAATTTTAGGATTATTTTTGCTATTTCTGTGAAGAATGTCATTGGTATTTTTATAGGGAATGTACTGAATCTGTAGATTGCTTTTGGTGTATGGACGTTTTAACAATCTTGATTCTTCCAATTAATGAACAGGAATATTTTTCCATTTTTTGGTGATCTCTTCAATTTCTTGCAGCAGTGTTATAGTTTTTATTGTAGAGATTGTCCATGTCTTTGGTGAAGTTTATTCTTAGATATTTCATTTGTAGCTATTGTAAATCGACTTACTTTCTTGATTTCTTTTTCAGATTATTTGTTGTTGGCATAGAAATGCTGTTGATTTTTGTATGTTGGTTTGTATCCTGCAACTTTACCAAATTTATTATAGTTTTTTGCTGGAGTCTTGAGGTTTTTCCAAATATAAGATCATATGATCTGCAAACAAGGATAATTTGACTTTTTCTTTGCAATTTGGATGCCCTTTCTTTCTTTCTCTTGTCTGATTGCTCTAGTAGCTAGGACTTCCAGTACTATGTTGAATAACAGTGTTGAAAGTGGCATCCTTGTCTTGTTCCAGATCTTGAGGGAAGTCGTTTCCCATTCAGTATGATACCAGCTGTGGGTCTGTCGTATATGAATTTTATTGTATTGAGGTATGTCCTTCTATACCCAGTTTTTTGAGGGTTTTATTTACATCATGAAGGAATGGTTGAATTTTAACATAAGCTTTTTCAGCATCAACCGAAATGATCATGATTTTTGTCCTGCATTCTGTTGATATGATGTATCACATTGGTTGATTTACATATGTTTAGCCATTCTTCAGCTGAAGTAAGGAGTCCTTCTAGAAGCTGTGAGTTGTGCTTTCTGGTTTTGGGGGAGGGGTGACGTAAACACTCCATTGGCTGCCCCAGCTGGTGTCTTACTAGGTCGTGTGCACCTGAAGTGAACAGGCTCAGAGCCCAGCACACCACCAGGACTTGTCCAGAAATTGCAGTCCTTGTGGCCTAGACTGCCTTTCATTTAGGACCCCAGAGCACTTTAGCCTGCAGTGGCAGGGCTTGCCAGAAGTCAGGTTCCAACCAATGGGAAGGACAGATCATCTCTGGCTAGGTATAAATGCTTCCTCCATGGGCATGGACTAAATTCTGCTTTGCATTGCACTGTGATAGAGTAGCACTGAGTTCCAATGCAAAGTCCCACAGTCTGTTCCCCCACTGCCAAGCACACAGATTCTGTCTGCGCCATGTGGCTGCTACTAGGGTGTAGGGAAGGGGTGGTGTAGGGAAGTCAGGCAGGACTGTCTTTCCTACCTTCTTCAGTGCCTCTTTCCTCAATATACTCTTTTCAGGTACTGTCGCTCACCCGATTTTTGGTTCTCACAAAGATGTTTTGTGTGGATAGTTGTTCAGTTTGGTGTTCTTGCAGGGGAGATGATCACTGGAGGCTTCTATTCAGCTGTCTTGCTCCACCTCTCCTCAACATCTTTTCAAAAACTAAATTATCACTAAAATAGTCTCAGAAATTCAGGTAAGCTCTTTGAGATTCAGTATTAAGTTTTTCCCACATGGTCCAGTTTTTTAATACTACATGTAATAGGACAGTCTACAAATATGAAAGTTACACAAATACAACTTTAAAAAACTTCCCTTTTTCTCTGCTAGACAGTAATTCAATTCTCAATCTTTCTGGTAAATACAGTAGAATTCAGGAACCTTTATTCCCAGTCAAAACCAAAATTCTGTCAGTTCCAATCAAATTAGAAACTCCGTTTTTGGTTTTCTTTGTTATACTCTTGTCCCAATTCTGCTTCCAGATTCAGAGGGAGGGAAAATAGTATTCAAATACATGCTTGGCTAAAGTTGTTGTCTTCTTTCCTGCCGTCTGGGCTGAAACCTAAGTTGGCACAATGATTCATATTCTGATCTGTTCCTGTGGCATAGGTGATGTTCAGAGGGTCTAGAGTGTAGCTTCACAGCATGGAAGATCCCATCAAATTGTAGCTGCTTGCTTGAGGACACCATACATGGCTTCCTGAAACTGGCACATCAGCTTTTTCTTCCACTTAACTTTCAAGCTGCCAACCACAGACCTACCAGGCACAAATCAGGCCACTCTCTACCCTGTCTGAACTAGAATTGTCAGACTACAACTAGACTCAATTGTCACTGCCAACTCTATCACCCCAAACCCGTTGGTATGCGTTGTGAGAGAAGGGGTGGTAAGCAAAATCCTTTCTGCATATTTTTTCCTCAAATTCTCTCCACACTTCCAGCTCCTTCATTTCCTGAATGGGAACGGTGTGGTGTGTATTCAAGCTCATTTTGGAAGAACTTTCAGTCATTGCACACCTACTGTGACACCCTTTAAACTAATTATTGTCTTTGTTCTAAGCAGAGTGTAGGGATGGCTAATAAAGTAAATGAAGGCTGGGTGTGGTGGCTCATGCCTCTAATCCTAGCACTTTGGGAAGCCAAAGTGGGTGGACTGCCTGAGCTCAGGTGTTTGAGACCAGCCTGGGTAACATGGTGAAACCCCATTTCTACAAAAAATACAAAAATCAGTTGGGTATGGTGGTGGCAGGTGCCTGTGGTCCCAGCTACCCACCCACTGCTCAGGAGGCTGAGGTGGGAATATCGCTTGAGCCTGAGGGTAGAGGTTGCAAGTGACCTGAGATTGTGCCCTGCACTCCAGCCTAGGTGACCCTGTCCCGAAAAGGAAATGCAACAGTGGTTTATGTCTCAAGGTTTATGCCACAAAACACTATGTAACCTGCTCTGTTAAGTCTCATCATCTAAGAAAAGGAATGACTTTTGGACCTTATAATGGACAACTGAAGTGGATTCCCACTTATAGCTAAGGCAAGTGTAAACGGCACTTCACTTTTCCTCCCATGTAAGCAAATAGTGAAACAACTGCTTTCAGACATTGGGCAATGAAGAACGGTGATAGCCCAATAAGTAAAAAAGTAAGACAAATCCATGACTGTGAAGCACGATAGAGGGACAAAATACCAAGCAGAGCACTTCAGTTAAGAGACAAACTGGAGTTTGGGGAGGACAGCTAGAATGTGTGGGGCATAATACAGGAGAGAGCCACATATGGAGCTCCTTGAGCCTTTAGCTGAGTATGAAAAGATTATAGCTATGCCTTAATGCTTCTTTCGACCTTTATAGAGAATGCACCTTGACAACTTTTGGCCACTTTTCAACTTCTGATTTCTAATTAAATTTGTTGGAGGGATGAGTACCATCCAAGTGAACTATTAGTGATTTTATACCTTTTATAGTTTTCACAACATGCAAAAGAGAAAGCATAATCCATTTATGGGTTCAGTATGGGTAGCTATAGCCTGTACAGGAGAAATGAGGGCCGGCGTGAGGGGCTAAGAAGGGAGTTTGGCTCAATCCTGAAGGCAGTAAGAACCATTGGTTTAAGTCAGGAGAGAGGGTATGATACTAGATTTGTTTGGGAATGTTTACTGTAGCTGTAGTATGGAGATCAGATTGAGGCAGGCCTGTAGGCAGGATCAGTTAAGAGGTTGCTATGGCACTGTATGTACAAACTAAACCTGATTAAAAAAGAGACAACTAGTCTATACAAGTATATTGAAAGTTGTTTTGCCTAGCTGTGGTGGCTGACGCCTGTGATCCCAGCACTTTGGAAGCCTGAGGCAGGCACATCACAAGGTCAAGAGTTCAGGAACAGCGTAGCCCATATAGTGAAACCCCATCTCTACTAAAAATACCAAAAATAAAAATAAAAATAAAAAAAATAAAAAAAAATTAGCTGGATGTGGTGGTGGGCCCCTGTAATCCCAGCTACTTGGGAGGCTGAGGCAGGAGAATTACTTGAACCCAGGAGATGGAGGCTGCAATGA